CAACCCCTCTCTTCATTAGCTTCTCTACTGTATCAATAATCCCAATACCCTATCTCTCTATCTTTTTCTTATCGTGCAGTGGTAGTCTCTCATTAAATATGTACTCCCATATCTCATCCATTGATATACCAATAGTAACTGGAGTACCCTCTAACTTAGCCATATCTACTGCTGGTAACAGACACAGCAAACGAATACGAATAGAACGAGGAAGCAATCCCAAACAACTAACAGGAAGATACTTAAAATGTTCATCTAGATCTATGTCATCTGTGGCCCATAAGGAGGCTCAAACGTGAGGTGTCCTATGATGTACAATAGACACTGTAACTGAAGAGGTGCTGGGTGAGACATCACTCCTGTCTTCAGTCCTTCCCAATAATGTGTAAACTCATCCTCAGAATCTGCAGTAGATCTACCACTGTGCTCTGAGCTTATATGGGAGTCTTTGTGTAGGCATACATCTGAGAAATCCTCTTCTGAGTGTAGATTATCTGCCATTTGGTGGGAGTCAATCTAAGCACGCCCTGTAGCTATGCCCACATTCACACTCACTATCCATTCCCACATAATTGGGCGAAGCCCACTAGTTCGAGTAGAGTATGTTTGTTTGTTTGTTTGTTTGTACACGTACGTCACCCCTATTTATCCGTATGAAACATTTTCCTATTTTAATAACCTAATCTTAATCTTCTTTGAAAACGGGTGTGGTCACAGTGAAATAAAATGGCGCCAGCTATCAATTCTTCATTGTTCTCAGTTCATGTTCTTGACCTTACAAGTTACAAGTCACTCACTTGAGTCAGCAAGAATGCAAGAGAAGTCTCTACTACTTTCCAAATACAACAAGGAAGATTAAGAAGGCAGATATGCCACAGTTGTGAGCTTGTAAAGCCTCCACAACTACTGACATAACCTATGACTGCAGTTACTGTCTCTGGCTTCCAACACAACTTTTTTGCTGCAGAATGTGATAAACTGATAAAGAAAATTTGTATTTCCAAGCATGATAACTTCATTACAAATTTACAAACTACTGTATTTACTCATGTACATGTACAATAATGTAGCTCTATACCATATAACCTTTAAAATATAGCGTGGCTAGGGGGCTGAGCCCCTTAATGTTTTACATTCGTCTAGTCTACTGTTACTTACTGTGCAGGTGCCTTTTATCATTGGAGAGGAGATTATAATGCTGTGACTGAAAATATAAAAGTACTGGAATTTGTGCCACTTTAACCAGAGGAGTCATATCCAGTCCTTTCATCATTGACATAGGAGGAACTGCAACATATCCAGGTATGAATGATCATGTTATTGGGCGAAGCCCACTAAGATGAGTAGAGTTTGTTTGTTTGTTTGTCTGTCTGTACACGTACGTATTCCGTATGTCCTCTATATAGCCGCACATGCCTAGCAGTGCAATAGATTCTAAATTTCAATATTTCATTGAAAGTGGGAGTGGTCGAAAGATAATAAAATGGCGATCAGCACACGGGAATCAGAAGTCATGATTTTCCTACTTCCTAGCAACAAGATAAGGCAAAAACACCGTCCAAAGACTTCTCCAACTGCTTGAAAAGGTTACAGGGTGCAATAAAGTAATTATGAATCTTCTTTTTGTTGAGAAAATCAAACAAATGTCACATTTGTCACTGACTGCACTTAACTGGCCAGCCTTTTTATATCTTATGGCTATTTTAAAGTCAGTGTAGCAAGGCTTAAAGTAAAAAACAAGTCAGGAGTTTTCTAGCAGTAACATAAAGTGTAGATTCTGCTTTTTCCCAGCTAATAATCTACAAGGCTGAGCCCTTGAATGGTTTACATTGTTTCTAGTATTAGTTTATAAATGTAATTATATATTTGTAGTTGACTACCTTTTCTATGATATTCGCTTGCAAATGCCTTCATATCAAAACAGCACTTGTGCTACACTCTACATTGTGGATGACGATACTTTGGAGAGGAGATATGAGGAGTTCTTTTATCTATATGTATTTCCAGAGTATTTCCTCGGCATAAGAACTTGTTAGTGAACAACTCTTGGTTAACTCTTAGGATTCAAGATGATGATGTTTCCATCACATAATTTATTTTGTTGATTTTGTCATTAATTTTGATTGATGGGCATCAGTCCATTTATAACTGGATATTATTAATAAACTAGCCTATTCTGAATAAGATTAGTAAAAACCACTGTGATATTAGAGGCAAGATGGCTCTTATTTTATTATCCTTGGCTTTGCTCTTTCTCTCAGGTGAAATCACTAATTATAATTGAGGTAATAATTGCAATTGGTGCATACTTAATAGTTCAGGGTCATTTGCAAGATTATGAAATTGTGCAGTGTTACTCGTCCACTTATAACTGTGTTAGTAATACTAATGGAGTCAGTCTTCCTGCTATTGACTGCTGTGGTAGAACTGGTGGAGGATATGCCAGACATTCTTCATTCACGGGAATATGGCAGTCAGCTCTGTGCAGTCCTCTATGTATTGGTGAGCTTATTAACCGGCCGCTTTACAAAATAGTACTGTACAGTAATCATGTGTAATGTAATATCTTTGTGAGCCTATTCCGAGGCCTATCCCGTCTATTCTTTTCCTGATTTATGATTTAAGATTTATTTGATAGACCCACTGCCCCTTTTTGACTTTGACGCTCAAAGGTTAAGATGAAGGAGGGTTTGGTATGTATTTGATTCATTCTTGCTCAATATGCTACATTCTATTTTGAAGATTATTAAACTAGGTCTAGTAAAAGCAAGAGTACATAATTATGTACTCTTGGTAAAAGATATGTGTTGTATTAATTACATTAACGTATCAACCTTTTTTACACATTAATTTTTGTATGTAAGACTTGTGTAAAATGTACCCATGGCTTTAATAAATCAATTGCATTTTTCTTTGCATAGTCATCGGATTTGATCAGTCATTGTTACATTTTGTGTCAAGAGATGCTGGAAGAGTTGCCTCATTGACTGCTGATGAACTGTACAGAACACCTGGTGCTTCTCTCCTGTCAATCAAAAATAATGTATCCATTAACATTGAAACAAGATCCCTACCTGACAGTAAGCTCACTTTAATTATTTTATCTGTTACTAACACTTTAAAAGACATTGATGATTACTTTGTGTCCTTCATGAAACAAGCAACAATTAATTCTACTGAACTACCTTTTACTGTTCAACTGGAGGTTACACGAGGGAACGGGATTGCCCTTCAGCCATCCATCTCATTTAGTTATGTGATGAGTTTGAATCCTGATTCGAAGCTTCCACCAGGTGTTGCAGTTGTGTTTAAAAGTGCTAGAATTTTGGCTGAAGATGTAGATGGTGAATTAATTTGTCATTAAATAATACCAGTAATGTTATTTTCCTCTTATAGTAATGACTACTAGACTACGAGTTTGGCCATTGCTTGTAGAAGGCTTTACTGGTCAAGCTCACATCAGACGTAAAAAAATCAACTTCGAGTCTCCTTTCCAAGTGACCCTTGTATTTGATAATTATAGTGGCATACTTAGTCCATTTTATAACTCAGTTGGAAACATTAGTAAGTGGTATAGTTATTACACATAACTGTCTATTATTTTTACACAGGTTTTCCTAATAAACAAATGGTTGTATTTGATCCATACAAAGACCAAAGCATTATTTCCAAACCTGTTTCTTTCATTATCCCAATAGACAACATTGTGGAGTTTTCTCAAGTGTTTTTAATTAGAATGAGTGTTAATGATTCTCGTGTTAAGATTACATCAGTCACAACTCATCCAGTATAATTGTTGACAATGATGATGGTAAATTATTTTATTGCATCAATTTCTGCCCACTGTACATACATGTAGTTTTAATCAGATTTTGTGTAATCATCAGTATTGCCTATTTTATTAAAGTTTTTAGAGTTGGATTTAAAAATACTGAAATCTCAATTATTGAAGGAGAAACAGCAATGCTAACAGTACAGCAGATTGGCAATGAGAAAGGTGGTGAAGATATTGGTGGTTTACCAGAAAGAAGCCTTGTTTCAGCATTATTGTACTTATGTTATCTAGCTGGTCGAGGAGCAGATGCCAAGTTAAATTACAGTTTCCCAGAATTCAGTTACAATTCTAATAATAAGTTAAATGACATTTCATTCTTTCCTGTCACGAGTCTTGTGGATAATGTCATTGAAGGGAATGAGTTGATACAGGTTGTACTTCTTCCAGGACCAAATTCTGCTAACCTTCAAGTTATACCATCACTACAGACAGCTACTATAACAATATTTGATAAAACAAGTAAGCACTTACATATAGAAATAATTTAATTTTTAAAACTTTTATAGATAGTCCTACTAGCCTGTCATTAGAAAGAAGATCATACAGTGTAATTGAGAGTGAAGGAAGTATAGAAATATGTGTTGTACTAACTGGAGATGTCTCATCAAGCTCAGTGAATATTACCATTCTTGAGTCACAAGGAACTGCAAAGCGAAATTGTAATTGAGTTCTTAATTGTGTCTCATGTAATTTTCTTCCTATATAGCTGACTACACCTTTAGTAGTAATACTTTAACTCTGCCTGCATTTAAGAACAAGACCTGTACAAGTCTTCGTATTATTGATGATAACTTATGGGAGCCATCTTATGAGAGTTTTACATTAACAATTTCTAGAATAACACCTGAGAATAGCAACTTCATTTTAGACAATACCCCATCAACAATTCAAATACAAGATGATGACAGTAAGCTCAATATTATTGTGTTACTTTTTATATTAGTTTATTTCATGTGTATAAAGTATTATACATCTGTTAGTCTGCTGCAGCAAATCAACTAATTAATTTTTGTAGCAAACCTTCTTTTAGCTTTTGTGTTATACAACAAATACAATATAGCGGGAAATTTTTGTGGCCCAAACTTTTTTGCTTATCTGTCTAAAAATCAATTTTGTGGCTTTAATTTTGTGGTTTTCGACTTTTCAGCCATTTCAAACCATATGTGACCATAATTGACAAAAGGTACCTTATGGCGGGTAGTGAAATTCGTCTTTATAGCCAAGAAAATCCAACTTCCTGACCTCTATTTATCATAAAATTACTCCACATGATGCAAAAAGTTACTGTGTAACTTATAAACACAATAAATGTCCAACAGAGCAGTCACAGGTTGATATTTTTCATTATAATGATGAATTTTAAAATCCGCCATAAGGTACCTTTTGTCAATTATGGTCACATATTAAATTGATTTTGTGGATTTTATTTTTGTGAATTAAAAAAGGCAAAATCCACAAAAATTTTGGGCCACAAAATTTCCCACTATTTGGTAATATAGGCTTAGAAAGACACATGTATATATATATCACTGTAAGATTGTGATCAAGTTTTAAATATTTTGAAATTGCACGCCAACACTACACAACAGATTTTAACTTTTAAAAATATTGAGGCATAAATGTTTCTAGTGTACCAGACTGTAATAAGCAGGATAATTGATAGTTGTACATGTTATTGTTTGATTTTACAAGTGTTTAATAGATTCAGTTCTTCTCCTTTCCCACCTGCACAAGCCCAGATTAGTGATTCATTATTTCATGATCCATACACTATATGCAAAAATTTATGTTGCAATATTGAATATCTAATGAATAATGAATTCAGCCATTCACCTGCATCAGCCCAATTTGGGCGGATGCAGGCAATGGCTGGATTTGGCCAACTGTAAAATAAAAACTCAAAATTTTATTGAAATAATTTTAGTTAGAAGTCACATATTATTATAGCAACTTAGCAAGTTAAAGTCTTTATACATTAATCTTTTTGTATGTTTTTGCAGTGAAGCAACAAATAACAGAGGATGTCATTGTACAGTGTTACTCATCTGCTGCTAATTGTAACAGTAATACTAATGGAGTCAGTCTTGCAGCTATTGACTGCTGTAGTAGAACTGGTGGAGGATATATATCTCATTCTTCACTAGCTGCGGCACAACAATGTGGTGCATGTGTTGGTAGGATTAGAATATTATATTTTAATGTCAGTTTAATTTTTCTATATTCATTTATTCACTAGTTGTTGGTTTTGATCAATCACATGTGCATATTGGTCCAAGTGATGCTGGTAGAAGATACTCATTTACTGCTGATGTACTCCTCAGTACTCCTGGGGCTCCTGATGTTACTGGTCTGGATTATGTTATTTCACGAGAGCCAGCTATGCTAGTTAATGGTAGATAATTCTTTATTTACTTTATTTTTTCTGTTTAAAGTTGCTGACTACTTAAGCTCAGATTTTGCTGGACGAACCAATGGTTTGCTACCAGAAAGGTTTAGCATACGATATGTATCACAAGGGAATGCGGTTGCTCTCCAACCAACTCTTTCATTTAATTACACAATTGCTGCTGAAACTGGTCCATCTGATCCATCAATACCATCAGGAGTTGTACTTGTATACAAAAATCTTAGAGTTACAATTGATGATATAGACAGTGAGTGCATTTTATTGTATTTGAATTATTATTATCTTTTTATCTCATGCAGTAATTACTGTAGGTCTAATAGAATCATGCACATGCTTCCCGCCATTATTAGAGGGTCGTGATGCTATAGTTGGTATTGAAGGCTCAGCAATTACATTTGAAGCTCCTTTTGAAGTCACTGTCTCAAATGAGAGGTATACTGGCCCATTGGCTCCTGATGAAGCTGCTGTTGGAGACTTTGGTATAAAACAGTTTAATTTTTAATGATTATTTACTCCTTTAATTTAGATCTCTTCAACTTTACTGAAAAGCATAGTGTTGTGTTTTTACCAACAGCATATTATTTTAATCAGCATTTTGAGCGTGTGCTTTTCTTCATGCCACAGGACAATATTGTAGAGTTACAAGAACTGTTTAGATTGAGACTCAGTGTTAATGACTCTAGAGTTAGACTAGATCCTCAAAAAACCACTCAAACAGTAAGACTTAACAATCGAGATGGTAAGTCATTTGTTCATGAGAAAAACTTCTTTTGTTTGTATTATAGTTTTCAGTGTTGGGTTTAGAGAATTACAAGTTACTATTACAGAAGGAGAAGTGGCCACATTATTTATGAAGCAGATAGGAAATGAGACTGGTGGTGTAGACATTGGAGGCTTTCCAGAGGGTCGTTTAAGTCCAGTTCGATTGAGACAAGTATCTGGGACTGCTACAAGTGGTTACTATTAACATATTCAGTTCGTTTTAATATTGATAATTATTTTAGGTAGTGATTTCTCCCTTAATTCTTTTATTCCAAGATTCACCTACAGTGTTAATAATACACTAAATGATATTACATTCGCTCCTATCACTAGTATTGATGATAATATGATTGAAGGAAATGAAACAATAAGAGTCATCATATTACCTGGTACAGATAATCTTGTTCTAATACAGAGAGACAGGCAGACAGCTACCATCACCATTGTTGATAATGACAGTAAGTTACGTATTAAACATTATGGGGTGTGCTTATTGCCATAGTAACTTTTGATGTGCCGCGGGTATGCCCCATAACATGCATGTTTTTATAGTACTGTTACTTGTTTAGACCATAGATCCAATGAAGCCATAGATAAGAGTAGAGGCCTCCATACACTAGGCAACATGTTCCTTGCAACATTTGTGGTTACTTTGATTTATAAGCAAGATGCTGCCAGAAATAGAACAGCCTTCTATTTCTGGCAACATGTTGCTTACAAGATCAAAGTCACCGCAAATGTTGCAAGCAACATGTTGCCTAGTGTATGGGGGCCTTAGGGCATGGGCACACTGTGGCCATAGTATAAATTATAGATATCTACCTGTCTGGCTGGTGTTATGGGCATATAACACCCTCGAGAAAAGTCCGAGACCACTTTTCTCAAGGGTGTTATATGCCCATAACACCCGCCAGACAGGTAGATATTTGATACATAATAATTATATATATAAGTGGAGACAAGAAATTATTTTACTCATTGCATTGCATATAGTTGGTGTGCTGTCATTAGAGAGAGGAACATATGATGTGATTGAGAATGAAGGAACTGTAGAAATATGTGCTGTACTAACTGGAGGAGTATTATCAACTGATACAGAAATAACTCTACAAGCTAGAGATAACACTGCACGATTTAGGAGTGAGTATTGACATTAATATGCATTAATGATGACTTGTCCTTTAATTAGGTGACTATAGTACTCATAGAATTCGTCCAATATTACGTTCATCTACAATAAAGACGTGTGGTAGATTTAATATTATGAATGATCTCATTAGAGAACCACTATTTGAGAACTTTACAGTGTTAATAACAAGTGTCTTTCCAGAAAATAGTGTATTAACAGTAAATGGGAGTCCATCTTTTATCAGGATACAAGATGACGATCATTAGTAAAACAAGTTATAAGTAATGACAATAGTAAATTTCACATGTTAAATAATGCTTTTGATTATCAGAAAGTAATATTACATATTTCTCAAATTGTAAAAGAAAGTATAAGATGTGTTCCCCATCTCAAGAGTTTACATTAGCATTGATAGTATAAAATCTAGTCACTAACTTAATTTCTTAAAGGTGTACAATATACTCCATTTGATGAGCATTACCATCTTTGATTCTCATTTTTAGAAGCAAGTTTAATTTGAATTAGTACACCCTTTATTTATGCTTGTGTGGTTATTCCTATTATTGTGTATGTTTGCTTTTAAATAGCATTGGGCATATTTAAATAACAATGTAAATGGGCATAATTACTAATAGCAATAAAAATCAATTGACTAATGAATGGAATAACCTCTTATTTTATTATAAGTCCGTAACTAATTTGATGACTAACAAAAAATAATAAAAAATTATCTTGTATTGTCCATATACAATTCAGTAGCCATGTCAAAAAGAATTCTCACATATGATGGTTTGCCATACCCTCTCCTATCCAGCACATTTATTTTCTTTATTTTAACTGCATTACAATGCTTCTCCCATAAGTCATATAGAGCTTTAACAATGTCGTCATTAAGTAAATCAGAATTTAAACTCAATTCGAAAAGAGGGACATCAGCTGGTGAGAGAGAGGAGAAGATACTTTGAATCATAAAGAGAAGACTTGGAGTAGAAATTTTCCAATTCATTAAACCAAAATGACGTAAGAGATGAGCTTTTTCAGATATGAGGCTAGTGAACAAGTCAATCACATCATCAGATATAGTCATAATGATATTCCATTCCTGAGCACTGACAATACGAAACAATGAAGATATAGCAGATGAGGTCTCTTTGACGAAACTATAATATTCTATGAAAAAACTTTTAACTTTAATAGACTCCAGACCTGCAAGTGATGAGAGAAAGTACAATGGCTCTGGCGATATTTTGAGAGAATTAAGAACTAAGTTACGAGGAAGGAGAGAGATGAAATTAGGATAGAGCATACAGTGAATTATATCCAATGACTTGTTAGATTCTTGATCATGGTTGACAATGAATGGATCAGTGAGTGGTGGTGAGTCTGATGGGCAATCAACACATAACCTCATGGTAACTGGATTTGGCGACAAGAAAAAATTACGAAACAATAGTAAAAGGACATCAAGTGAAACTTGACGCGTTTTAAAAGCTAATT